CTCCCCCTCTCCCAACAGCTCTCAGTTACCAGTAACTCCTTGGCTAGAGGTGGAATTTGATGCCAACCTCCCCTCTCCATGATGGGATTTGCTCTGTCTCTGTCTTTCATCTCACCAAAGGAATACTGAGATCACAGGGGTGTACCACCCTGCCTGGCTTTACATGGTTTTGTGTCTTCTCAAGCCATCTCCTCAGTTCCTACTTACTGGGTTTTAAAGTTATCATAAATCTCCCTATTAAGAAAGATAGGTATAAGAGAGGCATATGGAAGAGAAGGCGGGTTTGTTTGTTTGTTTACTTGCTTGCTTTTTTCGAGACAGGTTTTCTCTGTAGTTTTGGTGACTGTCCCGGAACTAGCTCTTGTAGACCAGGCTGGCCTCGAACTCCCAGAGATTTGCCTGCCTCTGCCTCCCGAGTGCTGGGATTAAAGGTGTGTGCCACCACCGCCCTGCTGAGAAGGTGGTATTTTGAATGCCCAACCATAGAAGGTTGGTAACCAAAATCCCAGGAGCAGTGATTTGTTTTCCTCTGGGGATTCCAGATGGAATGGAACTTGGTTGGCACTTGACTTTGGACTTCTGACTTCCCGTACTATGAAAAAAAAAATCAGTTTCTGTTTTGTTAAGCAAACTGTTATGTAGTGTATGTAGAGTAACAAAAATTTATCACCCAGAAATTATTTAATTTCCCTTTCCTGTACTAGACAGTGGGTATCATCAAGTCTTCAGTTATATATTATATGTTATATATATGAAAAATTTATACATGTATATATGCACATATATGTGTATGTGTATGCATATCTTGATAATTCTAGTAACTAACACAGGCTTGCCAATATTTAGTATCTTCAGATACTTGATAAAATGGATAAATAGGTTATGATTTTAGATGTAAGAAGGTAAATGGGTAAGTTTCAAATGAATCTCTGAAAAAAATAAATTACCTCCATTCATAAGATTTTACAAATTGTGCATTTGATTTTTCAGCAAACAAACAGGAGTAGATACTGTACAAATGTTATGATGTGGAGAAAAGCAGATAAAGTTTCGTGGATGAATTTACTGGTGGACAGAGTCAGAACTTAGATTTACACTTAGGACAATGGATGTTGTCTGAAGACAGGAAATGCAGGCTAGCGTGGTACCTCTGGGACCAGTTGTGCTTTCTTGCACACTGCCCTTTAAGCTGTGTCTTTCCAGGCAGTTCACTGTTGAGTTCTGTGTAGTCCATGCTAAGTACTAATCTTGTGTCACAAGGCATAGTGGTGCTATTCTGGGGATCCCCATATAGAAGGGGTGACTCTAGACTTTAAAAAAGACAGATGAGAAAGATCTGAAGCCAAACTCGAAATTATCAGCATCACACGTGATGTGTGAGGGAACAAACACTTCAAACTGAGTGGTGGTAAAAGACCTGATAGTTGAACCAACTATGAAATCTCATATATGACATTATATGAGCATGCTGCTCCAGGCTCTGCTACATACAAAGCCTACTGCAAATTGCAAATGCACAAGTAAAAGTTAGGTGTAAGAAAAATAGATGTTGACTTGATTTTTGTTTCACAGTAGCTCAGCCTCTTAGTGTTGCTATTGGAAGAAATCTTGCTTTTCAGTCCTTGACTGCTTAAAACTTACTTTAAGCAATTCCCCTTTCATAGCATTATTATTAACTAAAAAGTTGATGAAGATGGATTTTTCTTCAGGCCACCAGCTCGCAAAAAAAAAATTGACATGAAGACTTATTAATTATAAAAGTTCAGCCTATAGCTTAGGCTTGTTCTACTACCTCTTACAACTTATATTAACCCATTTCTGTTCATCTGTAGGTTGCCACATGACTTGTGGCTTTTACCTCTCCTCCTGCATGCTTGCTCCCTGTATGTCTAGCTGGTGACTCTATCTCTCTTCTTCGCAGAGTTCTCTCTGTCCAGAAGAACCTGCTATACCTCCTGCCAAGTTATTGATTGTTTAGCTTTTAGCTTTTTATTAAACTGATCATAGTGGTATATTTTTACATGATGTTATCAAATATCTCAAAACAAATTGATATTAAATTACATCATTTCCCTATTTTTTCTCCTTTCCCCAAATTCTCCATTGTACCCACACTTATTTTCTTTGAATTTCATGGCTTCTTTTTTTTTTTAAAAATGCTAACTCTATGTATGTATATACTCTGTATTATGTTACTTATTGATTATATATTATCAGAGTTGATCATTAACTATTGGATGTGCTTTTCCATGGGGAAGAGTATTCACGGTGTTTTCAAGCAACAATGGCAAGATCACTACACTAGGTTATTTTTCAGGAAGACTACGTACATGTGTTTATATACATATATGTATGTGTGTGAGTGTGTGTATGCATGTGAATGTGGGTGTAGATCGGTTTTGCAAATAGAAATTGATTTTATGCTGCAGTCACATAGATCAACTTTTTCATGGAATATTAATCTTTTATTAATGTCTCAAGCCTCCCATTGAATATGATTTAGTAGCCATTTCAACTCTTTATTTTTGGTTGGACATTGCTCTGCTGAAACATAAAAACCTCCCTATATGTCAAGTTATATTTCCTCTAAGGAGTTTCCTGAACAGGAGATAACATGGTGGTCCTTGGCACCCCTACAGGATCTTAATTATATTGTAATATGATTATTAAAATGTCAGGTGCTGCCAACATTAGTTGAAGGTTTATATCTTAACAGATTGGGTCACATGCTTTACATACCCGATTTCCCTCAGTGCTCACAATGCTCCTGTGAAACAGCTTCTACTGTCCCCATTTTACAGCTGTGAAAACTTGAATTCAGACACGCAGAAGCACTTTGCTCAATATGTAGTTTTATTTGGGAGATCCATTTTTCACCCACTTGGTATTCCTTAAAGCAGTGATTCTCAACCTCCCTATTCTGCCACCCTTTAATACAGATCCTTATGGTGTGCTGACCCCAACCGTAAAATTATTTTTATTTTCTTGCTCTCCCTTTCTGTCCTTTCCCAATTCAACCTTCCAAATTCCTCATGTTCTTCTCCCCCCTCACCTTGTCTCCGTTCTATTCCCTTTCACCCTCCCAATCTCTCCCAATTTACTCAGGACATTGTGTCTATTTCCCCCTCCTAAAGGGATCCATGTATATCTCTCTCGGGGTCCTCCTTGTTTCCTGGCTTCTCTGGGGTTGTGGACTGTAGGCTGGCTATCCTTTGCTTTATGTCTAATATCCACTAATGAGTGAGTACATACTGTGTTTCTGTTTCTGGATCTGGGTTACCTCACTCAAGATGTTCTTTTTTTCTTTTTTTTTCCCACATCCATCCATTTGCCTGCAAATTTCAAGATGTTATTATTTTTTAGTGCTGAGTAGAGATATCTTGATAGAGGGAGCCATTATGGGGTTAGCAAGAAACCAGGCACTAGGGAAACTCCCAGGAAACCACAAGGTTAAGAATCTAAATAATACTGAGGGAGGGTACCTAAACTGCCCTTTCCCTGTAATCAGATTGATGACTACATTAATTGTCATTATAGAACCTTCATCCAGTAACTGATGTAAGCAGATGCAGAGATTCACAGCTAAGCACAGGGTTGCGCTCCTGGAGTCCAGTTGTAGAGAGGGAGGAGTGATAATATGGGCAAAGGGGTCAAACCAAGATGGAAAAACCCACAGAAATAGCTGACCTAAGCTAGTTCACTGACTCTGAACTCAAAGCTGGGGAACCTGCATAAGATTGAACTAGATTCTCTGAATGAATGTGGGTGGCAGTTGTGTGGCTTGGGCAGTTTCTGGAGCTACTGGCAATGGAACCAGTATTTATCCCTACTGCATGAACTGACTTTTTGAAGCCCATTCCCTATGGAGGGATACCTAGATACAGGGCTTGGCCCTTCCTCAAGTGATGTGACTACAGACTTTGTTGACTCCCCATGGGAGATCTCACGTGAATAAGGGTGGTTGGGAGGAAGGATGGGGTAGCAGAAGGAAGGGGGAGGGAAGCTGGTATTGATATGTAAAATAAAAAGATTGTTTTAAAAGAATAAAACGAAACTGTTTTTGTTGCTACTTTATTACTGTAATTTTGCTACTGTCATGAATTTTAATGTAAATTACATGTAATGTAAAAACCTGATATGCAGGTTATCTGATATACAATCTCTGTGAAAGGGTCATTTGATCCCCAAAGGGCCCCTGATCCTCAGGTTGAGAACCACTGCCTTAGAGAGTGGCATTCTAACGCCTACTGCATCTGCCACTCAGTCTCCAGTTGGAGAGAGATGCCTGTTGTTATCTTAAGTTATGATGTTTGGAGGTAGAAGGTCTACATTTGATCCTTGTCTCTTATTTACTAAATACAAAAGTCATGACCCAACAACTCAAATATAGTCTGCATGGATTGAGCGGACACTGGAGTGGTATCAGTACAGTAATAATTACCAGGCCCTAAAATATAATTTATAATTTAAAAAATTATGCTGATGGATAAGAACTCAAATGATGGAAGAGATGGGTAAATATGATTTACTTCATATTAACCATGTTTTTTTTTCCCTTTGGTTTTTTGAGACAGGGTTTCTTTGTAGCTTTGGTGCCTGTCCCAGAACTAGCTCTTGTAGACCAGGCTGGCCTCAACTCCCAGAGATCCGCCTGCCTCTGCCTCCTGAGTGCTGGGATTAAAGGCATGCGCCACCACTGTCCGGCAACCATGGTTTTATGAACATTTTATAATTTAGTATGGTTAGTTTACAGATTTGTGGGACTGTTGTGTGTAGTGGTATCTGAGGCAGCAGGACTGGGAGATTGAGGCCAGCCTGGACTACATAGAAAAATCCTGTTTTGAAAGAAGAAAGATTGCCATCAAATTATCCAAGTTTTCTTGGATATGATTTGGTTAATTTTATCAAAATGTTTTGGTTTAATCAACTTCATCTGATAAATGCAACTAATTTCATCCATCTAATGTGCTTTTTTGTCGTTGTTGTTGTTTCATTTCCAGGATGGCGTTGGAGTGGATGAGAAGCTATCCTTAAGGCGAGTGGCTGTGGTTGAAGATTTCTTTGACATCATCTATTCCATGCATGTGGAAACAGGGCCGAATGGAGAACAAATTCGGAAACATGCTGGGCAGAAGAGAACTTACAAAGCAGTAAGTGGGAGAGAAGAGAGAGAAAGCATGTATTCTGAGTTCTGTTGCTCTGTTTGATGTTAACGCAAGTGTAATAGTAGTGTCTGGTACTGAACACAGATTAGACCACGTCACAGTGCAACTCAGTACCTAAGACGTAATTTACTCTTTTCTGTTTTAGTCATAGGCTCGCAAGTCTACTGCATAAGTTTAAGCCTGTTTCTATAATTCTTTTATTATTTTCTTTAAATATATATATATAAAGTATAATATTCCCAGTCAAACACCTATAAACAGGAAGACACATTTGAAATGTATACTCAATGTGTCATGATATTTGAATTATGTACTGTGAGATAATAACATCTGTATAATCATTCAAATTTCTTCCATCTTAAGTCATATGAATGTATTTACATATTTCCTGTTCCATCTTATAACAACATAGATAAGAAAATTATACATTATTTTTATGTTATTTTATATATCTTAATTTTCCTGAACAAAATATTAAAGTATGTTATTTTCATAGTACCAATTCTTTTGAGAATTAAAAATTGAAATATACTATTTTATTGTAAATTATGTGAAAAGCAAATTTAATTAACTCTTTTATTGTGGAATATAATGGAGTTATATTTCAGTTTTGAAGTTACGAATTGTACCTAAGCCTGATATACACATTTTAATCTACATTTTATTTAATTAAAATTTTATAAAACCATATTACTATAGATATTTTACCCTTTCTAGCAAAATTGAAGGGTAAGTTACTTTTTTGCCAATATGAGCAAAGTGTACATTATAAGAGCTTTCTCAGCAGTGGGGATAATGTTCTTTTTATGAATTCTTACTGAACTTCGCTTTTGGCTACCTTGATATGAACTGTTTTCAGCTACTTGATACACAATATCAGTCTGGATCCATTTTTTTTTCAGATACAGAAAAATGTGTGAAATGTTCAAAGTTTCAAATACAGGTACATACGTTTGAAAATTAGCTCTGAGCATAAGAAATAGCTTCTTTTCATAACTATTTTTTGCTATATTGCCAGGGTCATATTGAATCCTTGTAGCTGCATAATAACCCTTAATACAATGTTGTTATTTATCCCTCCTTCTATATGGTTTTGTTTCTTGGCTGTTCCTAAATTGCATGGTTTGTGGGCAGGTACTAGTTTAAGTTTCCTTACGTAATTCTGCCACATAAACTTCCTTTTGATTTATGCACCCAAAGAGGCTTTCTTATCATGACTAACGAAAGTGACCTAGTATCTTGGGATGTTTGTATGTAGACTAATATCACTGAACATACTCATTCCTCCTTTCTCCTAAACTAGGGTTATTCCTCTGGATAGTACTAAGAAAATTATATATTGATCTACTAATATCACTAACTGTGGACTCTTAGGGGAATCCATTCTCATGAACTAGCTATGTGCACTGGACAGGACTGTGTGTGACAGGAATACATAATTATTTCATATAATAAATATTTAATTTCATATTAAATGAAAATCAAAGACAAAATAAAATGAAAATATGGGGAGTGGCCTTTATTGTTGGGGGTGTGGTACCAAAAGAAACTTGATATTATTTAACCTTTAAAATGAATTAATCAAATATCGTAAATTTAAGCAGAAGCATGACCCAACATCACCAGATCCAAACTGTCACCTCATGTTTCCTTAGGTGACTGTGGGTAATCTAGTTTACAGCCATTACTCACTGCTAAGCATTTGCAGTGAATTTGTTACTATGTTTCCAACACATGAAATTTTGTTATCCACATTTCCTGAAACCCCTTTCTGCATTTTGAGGTTGGGGAAACAGTCTCAAAAGCTTAAGCAGCACCTAAAACTCATAATTCCTCCTGGGAATGTCTTATTAGAAGATGTACTCCTTCCTGAAGTTAATTCTTATTTCCACGTTAAAGCTTTTCTCCTTGTCCTAATATCAGGAAAGTTCCTTGTAACTTAAGCTCTTCCTAGGTCTAGCTCTCAAATGAATTTTAATTAGGAAACATTTCCATTTTATACAACTGTAACTCAATATGGGGAAAACTCTGCAGTATCAGTGAAACTGTGCACATGACTATATGATGAGCGGGATGCAATGCTAAACGTTAATGCAAATGTGCAATTAATGGAGCCTAATACTAAAGCGCAGCTAAAATGGAATGGCTGTGTTGTTGGAGTCAAAGGCTGTGGGGCCAGAACTTAGTTCTCAACGGTACCAATCGGCTTCAATAGCTAGGGTCCTTTTGCAGTGATAACAGTTCCAACTAGACTTCAGCTTTTCTCGTACGCCTAACAAACAGAGCATGCCTGGTTATGATTATTACCTTTCTCTCCCCTTTCTACATGGCCAAGAAACTATACTTGTACAACTAATCATAAAAGCATACCATGTCTTAACAGTATTATCAATAGATTTAGTGTTCATTTTATTTACTTTGCCTTTTTGCAAATATTCTGCTTCCACTCTGCAGGAAATGGTGGTCTTTTAATATCGAATTAACTATTGAATGCTATTTGGTTTTCTATCTGCAGTATATCATTCCTTGAAATATCTAGGCATTATACCAATTACAGTTTATTTTTATCTAATTTGGCCACAGAAAAAATTGTAAGGTATATAGTATAACTCATGAGCTTTGAAAATCCACAAAAATGACACATTTTTGGAATATATAAAATCTTTTCTAATTATTTAGGAGTTATTCATTATTTTATAGGTTGTTCTTATATTCAAATAAATTTATCATTAACAGTTATTATAGCATTGGCTGTGTTTCCTGTAATGTATTTGGCTATATTTAACTTATAAATAATCTACTTTAACATAATAGACCATTTAATTAGCACTGTGCTTGAGGTTGAAATATATCTTTGCATGAAAACTTAAATGTCGAAATACATTTTAGTGAAAGGTACTGTCTCTTCAGAATTAATGATACAATAATAGTTTACATTTATTATTTAGAATATCGTCCTGTGCTTCAGTTTTTAACAATAATTAGCTTTGGCCTAAATGATGCCTTAGTGAGCACACTGCTGTTCTCTAGGTACCTCTTGTCACTCCTCCCCCTTCATCACAGGCTGTTCTTTCAGAAACAGGTTTTAAGTTAGGGACTACTAGAAAGACAATGTCATCGGTGTGAGAAATTCTCCATGTGCATGTGTTCATGCACATACATAAATTATGTATGAAATAATTAACGTACAACCACTACTCTTTCTCTCTCTCCCTCTCTCTCTCTCTATACATATATATGTATATGTATGCCCATAATGACATTTATTTAATTAATGGTAGAGAGCATATGTTAGAGCAAAAAAAGAAAAAGAAATATTGGGAGCCAGACAGCTATAGTTCTAATTTTCAGAGTTAGCATTTCTTTGCTATCTGCAGTGCGGTAGGCAATTAATTTAATTTTTTTCTGCCTTTACGAAGAGGTACTGATCTGCATGGTGGGGCAAATGGCTTTATATATATATAAATGGCTGACACATACTGGTTTTGTGATGAGTGCTATGCTTTTCTCTGCCCAATTAATCCCTGGGATCCTAGTTGAAGAGTGTGCAGGACAGGGGGCTAACTTAGCTCTCCAGACAGAGGATTATCCTTTGATTTGCTGGTTCCAAAGTTTAGGTCTCAAGATAGCAAATTTTCATATTTCAAAGATTAATTTTTGCTTATTAATTTTTCCTGGGAACTTACCATCTTAATCTTCTGAAAAATATTAAAACTGACTTTTTAATATTTTAAAATATAATTTTTAATAAAATATTGAACTTAATAAAAATTTAATATATTTTATTAGCATATATTAGTGACAGCTAACAATGGGGTTCATTATAACATTTTTATGCATTTGCATAATGTATTTCAATCATGTTTTCTCACCTATCATTCTCTCTTGTTCCCTTCCTCTTTCCTGTGAATACCACATCTACTTTAGTATTCTTTTTTTCTGACGATCCATGAGTTTCATCTGTGTTGTTCACAAGAGCTTGTGAGGAAGTTTATTTACAGGAACACATGCACTTCATCCTTAGCTACATTGCTAGTCTGTCCCTTCCTCATCAGTCATAACGCCTGCTCTTTAAAGCCTCGCTTTCAATAGACATGGAAGGGTTTGTTTTAGAGAAACAGTCTAGAAATAGCATGTTTATGCAGGACATCATCCTTCTATGGCTTTCTCAGGGAAAACAATCCTGTGTAGTGTCTAGAACACATGACTTTTAAGCTTTTGTTTGCATCAGTTTTGCCCTGTGCTTTGGATAAATATCTACTGTTTCTATGGATCTAGCTTTAAAACGGATATTTTTAATCTACATTTAATTCTACTAGTTTGTTATTAAAAAACTCTCAGAGTTTTTGTGAACTCATAATGAATGACACACCTTTGGGTGTGGAGAAACAAAACTAAGCTAAAACATAATAAATCCTAACAATTTATTCAAAATCTTTTTGACTCAAGAAGTGGCAGACTCGTGTATATAACATGGCAGGACTTATTCTGCTTATCTTCCAAATGGTTTACAATGTAATGGTAATATGTGAGACCAAATGGAAATACTCAGCACAGTGAGCAAACAGGTGTACATAAGTCAGGACAGAATACATGGGGTGATCTCAGCTTTCATAAAAGCAGATTGGCTGACAAGCATCATTCAGAGGTAGAAAAGTTTTACTGTGCTATTCTACAGGGATGGTGATGATAAGGATGACAGTAATGATAAAATGGGCATGCAATGTGCTTCTCACAGTTGTATGATTTTAAAATAGCCATCAAAGAAGAAAGACCTAAGATACCTATGTCCACAGATTATCCATTTTTTTTCTCCACTTTTTCAAACAAGCTTTCAGGGTTATACTAGCATTACATGTATGCAGCTCCCTAAGTAAGTTTAAATTCCAGAGCAACAGACATCAGGGCACTTCTGTGGCCCTTTTTCTTACCCTGAAAATGATGACCATCCTGTAGATTTCACTTCTTCGTCATCTGTTTTCTTT